TCAACCAGACTAAAAATTGCTTTAGGGTCTGCAAAAGGACTAGCCTATCTTCACGAGGATTGTAAGTTATCCGAGTCTGTGCAGACACACAAGGCACTTGACAAAGAATTAATTTGAATTGGTCCTTGACATCGGAACTTTAGATTTTACATTTTAATAATCTGTACGTGTTATGCAGGTCATCCAAAAATTATTCATCGTGATATTAAAGCCGCTAATATACTTTTGGATTTCAAGTTTGAGGCAAAGGTATGGACTGCATAAATTTCTTATGGCTTTTTCAATATTTACAATTCTTAAAATAAAAGTTAAACTTACTGAATGGCAAGTCGTTGCCTGCCTGAGTTTTGTTATGGTTGATATAAGGGACCAGCTATTTCTGCGCCCTGTCAATTTGGCGGTTAAGTTATCTCAGTCAAAATATATTGGGTGTGATCATGTCAAGGAGTTTTTAGTTTTCTATATCTGAGATTCACCGTCTTTGGCTCAGGTTGCGGATTTTGGACTTGCCAAGCTTTCGTCTGATCTTAATACTCACGTTTCCACCCGAGTGATGGGAACTTTTGGGTAAGAGTTGTGAAACCCACTCCAATCATATTATAATTTCCAATGGACTTAGTTATCTTAACGATTTCAGTTTAAGATTGACCCAAAGTTTGACCACCATTTTATCAAAATTGAGTTCTCGAGATTGTAGTAAACGTTGTTTGGTGTCATGACCGGATTTCATCTTAGTTTAGCTTGTCTAGATCTATCACCGCATATTCAAGTTGCTTGCTAGATGTATATTTACCTATCATTCATGTTCTTACATGCTCGCTACCTTCAGGTATCTGGCTCCAGAATATGCTTCAAGTGGAAAACTCACAGACAAGTCAGATGTTTTCTCCTTTGGGGTTATGCTTTTGGAGTTGATTACTGGACGTCGACCTGTTGACGCATCTCGAACTTATGTGGAGGATAGTTTGGTTGAATGGGTGAGTAATAAGTCACTTTGTCTGTGAACAATGTGCATTGCGGTTGGTGTTTTTAGAGAATGATGACTAATGAGCATGTTCTGGCATTGTAGGCAAGGCCTGTGCTAACTCGAGCTTTGGAAGAAAGAAACTTTGATGGACTAGTAGATCCTAAGCTTCAGAATAGTTATGACCCCAACGAGATGGCTCGTATGGTTGCTTGTGCTGCAGCTTGCATACGTCATTCTGCACGGCGTCGACCACGAATGAGTCAGGTAAATTTTCTTCAGTAAGAGCTTAATCTTTCATGTTCCACGAGTGAATCTTTTAGATGTCATAGGTTTTAGTTGATCTGTCTCCATTGGAAGATTTTCAAGATCTACCAGGGTTCTGTAACGCGACTTCTGACTTTACTCAATACACACAGGTTGTCCGTGCTTTAGAGGGAGATGTTTCTCTGTCCGACCTCAACGAAGGAATCCAGCCTGGACAGAGCAATGTCTACAGTTCTTACGGGAGCTCAGACTATGACTCAAGCCAATACAAAGAGGACATGAAAAAGTTCAGAAAGATGGCATTGGGAAGCCAGGAGTACGGTGCTAGCAGCGAGTATAGCGCGCCTACCAGTGAATACGGTTTGTACCCATCCGGCTCAAGCAGCGGGGAAGGCCAAAGCCGCCAAACCACCCGAGAAATGGAGTTGGGAAGGATAAAGAAAAACAATCGCGGTTTTAGCAGCGGAGCCTCTTAAAACACCGCCAATGCACCAGTTTTTTTCCTGTAAAAATTCACCCCCCTCCCCCCCCCCCCCCTCTCTCTTTAATTCTTAACACTTTCTCTATATCACATCGATTTCAAGAACGGCTTGTTTGTGCACCAGTTCGATCTATTTTTCCCCTCCATTCGACGTATTCGAATTCTCGGCTTTTATAGTGTATTTAGCAGTGTTTATACAACAGTAACAAAGATTCTTATCCAATTCTTTTTATCTATGCTTCATCTTTCTTCTTACACATGTTTCCAAATATCTAACGATTTCTTAGCATTACAATTCTGCCATGCACAAATGGTCTCAAGTTGTGCTGGTTGCCAATTTTTCTTCAGTGTCGACAGGAACTCAACGTCGAAACATGTTTGACCGTTGAGTTATATTCAACGGTCCTCAGTCACTCAGTTTTGCTGCATCAAATTCCAGTAATCAAATATGTATTGGTTTTGCTGAATCAAATTCCGGTAATCAAATATGTATTCATACGTTGAGTGAGTGTGGTTACTCAAGACGGACAGTTTTGCAGGATCAAATTTAACAGTGAAACGCGTGTCGATACGTGGAGTGGGTGAAGTTGCTCAAGAAAAATGGGGACCATGAAAACCTTGGGAATTCGTGCAAGCTTTTGAATGATGGGTTTGGTTTGCTGAACGCCATTAAAAGCCAAGTCAATTTCCCCCTGAAACCCTAACCCTAGTGGAATCTCGCATCGCAGCTCACATGTCGAATACAAGAAAGGGAAAAACTGATCACCATTCACATGTATAATTAATCTCTGAGAAAGTCAAATAAAGTTGTTTTGGAGAAGAAAAATGGCCTCCACCACCAACCCATGCTTGTTCGCTGTGCGTGTGCTGTATTTGCACATGCCTACTTACTTATTTTATACCCCCCATCCGCCCTACCACTCTGGTGGGGACTGGCTACTGGCTAGGTTGTAGGGAAGGGACCTCCCTAAGGTACATGGAAATTTTAAAGGAAGTCTTAGCCAAGGTATAAAGTATCGATGATATTAGAAATATCGGTAGTTCAAAAACACGGAAATATCGATGGAAATATCGGGATATTATCGATATCGATAAAAATAATATGGAAACCACAAAAATTGTAAGAAAAATTTGGAAACTTTTATTGAAACTTTGCAGGATGATTATTTAGTCAATTATCTATTAGTTTATCACAAAAAAATGGAAGAAAATGCATTGCATGATGGATTTAACTGATTTAAGTTGATTATTTAGCGAGCTGGCAAACATTGTCAGTGTAGAAAATATGTAGTAATTAATGAAAGAAGTTTAAACACACCATAATCATTTATATATAATGAATTAGTACAATATTTTACACTTTATACATTGCATGGTAAGATACATGAGTGACTTAGTACCACATAGAGTTCCTATGAGGTTCAAAATTTTCACTATCTTCGTCATCTCTATGTGTAGAGTAAGTGTATTTTAGTATATTTTAACAAAAACATAAGTGATATGGTGGTCAAGGTGTTGAAGGAATAAAATGGGAAGGGTTCGAATCTCGTTGGTGTTTTTAAATATAGAAATTTATCCTAAATAATAAATATTAGCTTGCAAGCCTTACAGACATCTTAACGACCATATAAATATTACAGGTTGGATATGTAATCATAAACACATCTATAACGAGTTGGATAAAGCCCAGGTGTGTGGTTGACAAAGGAAGGGGTTCGAATCCCTTGGTTTTGTTTTATTTTATTTTATTTATTTATTTTTATTTATTTATTTTTTATTGGGGAAGAACCTTTCCGAAGAAAGGAGACAATTTTTTTTGGGGAAGAACTTTTTTGTTTTCTGTCCCCTACCTGAGACCCCATTTCTTTCTTCTTCTCTTTCTTTCTTTCTCTGCACACTTTCTTCTCTCTCGAAACCTCTCATCACTCTCACTCTCTCTCCCGTGATTACCCTAGTACACGGCACCCACACCATCGTTCCGTAGATGGCATCACCATCAAAACCTCGTCTTTCTCTCTTTTCCTCTTGTCTTTGCAAGATCGACGAAACCCAGAAACCTCCGGCAAGTTTTCTTCATTTTCTCCGGTTAGGTAAGCTTCGGGTTTAACTCTATTCCTTCTAGTTGAAGCTTGGGTGTGTGTTATTAAGTGTTATACTCGTAATTTTCCAAGGTTTTGGAACGAGATTAGGTCGAGGGAAAGCTCACCCAACTCCGACGAACCCTTAACTGTTGAGGAGCTTTCCGAACACCTTCGGCCATTTCACGGCGAACCAAGGGTATAAACTTACTCCTCTCTCTTTCCTCTTCACGTTGGTAATTAGATCGGAGTCTAAGGTTTGCATTTGTAATCGGCCGGAGCTGTAGAAGCTCCGACGTTCTTTTCCGATTTGCACATATCCAAAATATCGCGATATTATCGATATTATCAATAATATCGCGATATTTTGACGAAAACTCATTGGATAACCATTAAAATATCGGTAACGCAAAAAACCGATATTATCGGCATTTAAGACCTTGGTCTTAGCAAAACACTCGTGTTACTGTTCATTTTTAACATTAACGACATTTTTACTCTAAAATGTCATTCCTGATACTATTCACTAACAACATCTTTTTGTCATTTTGATTAAAAATCAAAGCTTTCAAGTCATTTTTATTAATTTTCCTAATTTTGAACCACAAACCGGATTAACTCTCCAGTAGGACAACTTCACCTTGTCATGTTATTTGTAAGAGGAGATTATCTCGCAACTAACACGTAGTTTTTAGTAATATTATTTGTATAATAAATATTCGCCACATTTTTATTAAGTGTACCACTTGTTCAATAAATATTTGTGTCACATGATGTCTTCGGTTATGAGTTTATCTCGTATAGAAGAGGTTCCGGTGTATGCACAGCCGTATGCCGCCTTTTTTATACGAGTCCTGGTCATACCAAACTAGGAAGGGAGTCATATATGTGGCTGCACAGACAGGTGGTCCGAAGGTCACACGTTATGTTCTCTATTTGAAGAGGAGCCTTCACAAGTTTGGGGTTGGTGTGACTCAAATGCAAGATATCCCCCTTGTTTGCGCGAAATAACCTTCATAGGACGTGGTCAAACAATCTTGTTGAAGATTTTCTCGAACAACATAATATACACGAAACCGAGTACGGTTTGGCATTGGGAAGGTGCATTCCCCTCAAACGTTAAAATATCGGAAAATAGTTGCTTGTAGTTCGTTTACGGTTCATAATATCAACAAGAAAGGTTATCAAAATTCTTGCCTAATACTCATGATTAGCATAAATACAAATAGATTAAAGAAAATCAAAATTTGTTTGTATCAAATTCCTTACAACAACCAAACTTTATCCCCCACCAAGTGGGATAAGCTGTATAAATCCTAGAATGCTATTGCGCTTAGTTTTGCGCCAACTCTTCTGTTACCTCCAAGACTCTTGTATTTGTGAATTCACGTTACAAAAAAAAAAAAAAAAAAAAAAAAATCATCTGGAACTACAAATTAGAATACCGACCGGAACCAGATCATTTCCTTCGCCACCGGCGTTTCTGTCGGATTCGCCAAAAGCTCAAAAATGCCAAAAGACCTACAAATAGTAGCCAAGCAATTCACGAGTAAATGACGATCCGAAAAACCAGTATGGTTGCAGGAACAAACCAATGAGTAGAACTAAATGATCACTTACCAATTGCAAGAACGGTTACAGGAACATACCAATGAGTAGGAACTAACACAGGCATGTCAAGCTGCAGGAAGGATTACAGGAATCTCTCAGCGTCATGTAACCATGTTATAGTATGATAGTGACAGTAAAAGGAATAGCGGAAAATATCGTTTTCTAACCATTCTGGCTTACCTCGTCCCCATAGAACAGGCCCAAGTATCCCAAAGGATCACTTCTATTTTCCACGGCCAACTGGGTGTGCTTCGAATTTGAAAATGGTGAAAGGTATAGAAAAGCGAAGCAAGAGGCGAAGAAAGCTGTGAGAGAAGCTAAGTTAGCGGCTTATGACGATATGTATAAGCGACTAGATACCAAAGAAGGAGAGTTGGATATCTATAAACTAGCTAGAGCAAGGGAAAAGAAGACAAAAGACCTAAACCAAGTGAGGTGCATCAAGGATGAGGATGGAAAGGTTCTTGCTACAGAGAACGCGGTTAAAGACAGATGGAAAGATTATTTTCATAATCTTTTCAATGAAGGACATGAAAGGAGTGCTTCTTTAGGGGAGTTGAGCAACTCAGAAGAGTGTAGAAACTACTCTTTTTATCGTAGAATCCGGAAGGAAGAAGTGGGTGTAGCTTTGAAGAAGATGAAGCATAGAAAAGCAGTAGGCCCAGACGATATACCAATCGAAGTGTGGAAAGTTTTGGGAGAGACAGGTATAACATGGCTCACTGACCTTTTCAATAGGATTTTGAAAACGAAGAAGATGCCGAATGAGTGGCGAATGAGCACTTTGGTGCCTATCTACAAGAATAAAGGCGATGTACAAAATTGCATGAACTATAGGGGAATTAAGCTAATGAGTCATACAATGAAGCTCTGGGAGAGAGTCATTGAGCATAGATTGAGGCAAGAGACACGGGTTTCGGACAACCAATTCGGGTTCATGCCAGGGCGCTCAACCATGGAGGTAATCTATCTCTTACGAAGATTGATGGAAAGATATAGAGATGGGAAAAAGGATTTACACATGGTCTTTATAGATTTGGAAAAAGCGTATGATAGGGTCCCAAGAAACATTCTTTGGAGGATTTTAGAGAAGAAAGGAGTACGAGTAGCATATATCCAAGCTATACAGGATATGTATGAAGGAGCAAAGACTGCCGTAAGAACTCATGAAGGACAAACCGAAAGCTTTCCCATAACTGTAGGATTACATCAAGGCTCATCCTTAAGTCCTTACCTTTTTGCGTTGGTAATGGATGAGTTAACAGGACATATTCAAGGTGATATTCCTTGGTGTATACTTTTCGCAGACGATATAGTGTTGATAGATGAAACTCAGGAAGGGGTAAATGCAAAGCTTAACCTTTGGAGAGAAGTGTTGGAATCTAAAGGTCTTCGCCTAAGCCGATCAAAGACAGAATATATGGAGTGCAAGTTTAGTGCAAATGGAGGCCAAAACGAGTTAGGGGTGAGGATCGGAGATCAAGAAATACCAAAGAGCGACCGTTTTTGTTACCTATGATCTATCTTGCAAAAGAACGGAGAATTAGATGGAGATCTCAACCATAGAATACAAGCTGGATGGATGAAGTGGAAGAGTGCATCCGGCGTGTTGTGTGACCGCCGTATGCCACTGAAGCTCAAGGGAAAATTTTATAGGACGGCAATAAGGCCGGCGATGCTGTATGGCACAGAATGTTGGGCGGTGAAGCATCAACACGTACACAAAATGGGTGTAGCGGAGATGAGGATGCTTCGTTGGATGTGTGGGCACACGAGAAAGGATAAGATTAGGAATGAGGATATCCGGGGTAAAGTAGGAGTAGCCGAAATTGAAGGAAAGATGAGAGAAAATCGGTTACGGTGGTTTGGACATGTGCAAAGAAGGCCTACTGACGCTCCGATTAGAAGATGCGACTATGGGACAGAGGTTCAGGGCCGAAGGGGCAGATGAAGACCTAGGAAAACTTTGGAAGAGACCCTAAGAAAAGACTTAGAGTACTTGGATCTAACGGAGGACATGACACAGGACAGAACACAATGGCGTTCTAAGATTCATATAGCCGATCCCACTCAGTGACTTGGATTTTCCAAGTCTCCAACCGAGAAGTTTTCCTCACTCGGGAAATTAAGGGAACACTACCTCAACCTATATGCTCCACTCACAAAGCTTCAACATACAAGCTTCAACAAAAGAAAATTCAAAGAACTTAGCGAAGAAGACTTTGGTGTATTTAACACAATACGTTGAAATGAATGAAAGCTTATTTATTGATATCCCCGATAAGTTACAAATATGTACATATACTTGAGTCAAAATAAACAAACAAGAGGGAGCCTTCACAAAGGTTGCTTAGGAGAAGTCTCAGCAGTCGGTAGAGCCCCAAAAAAGAAGAAGGCACCGGAGGGGATCATTCGGAGCCTCAGTATTGGACAAAACCCTAGAAGGGGGAGGCATCAGAGATTGATCATTTGGAGCTTCATTACGCGGTACAGCCCCAGAAGACGAAGGCAATAAATGCCTTTGGAACAAACCCACAAATCTCTGATGATCAAGTAAAACCTGACCATCAGATTCCTTCATCTGGTCAAGCTTCCTCTTCATGTTTCTAGCATAGTCATGTGCGAGCCGGTGCAACTGTTTATTCTCATGCTTGAGCCCTCTAATCTCCTGTTTGAGACTCATCACTTCAGCCGCCAATGATTCAACTTGGCGGGTTCGAGCAAATAGGCGTTGGGCCATATTAGACACAGAACCTGCACATTGAACACTGAGCGCCAGAGAATCCTTAACAGACAACTCATCAGACCGTTTGGAAAGTATTCTGTTATCTTTGGGAGTGAGAAGGTTCCTGGCCACTACCGCAGCGGTCATATCATTCTTCATCACGGAATCCCCAACGGTAAGAGGACCAGTAGGGGAGACGAAGGATGGGCGCCATATGTTGTCTGGAGAAGGCGGGGCTGCCTCTTCAACAAGGTTCAAGTCAAAACGACGGTCGGAGGGGCCATACATTTTCAAAGGTGTTGAAGAGAGAAGAGGTCGGACAAATCAAGATCTTAGAAGTGCAAGAATGGAGCTTCTACTGGTGGATATTCAAGTGTGCTTTGGAACGTAATGTCAGCCCCTATAAAAATCTGCACTCGACGAAGCTTCAGAAATCGAAGAGGCGTTTGCTTTCTCAAAAGCTGGGCTGCTCAGAGACCACGAGGGTCGATCTCAGAAATCGAAGAGGTGTTTGCTTTCTCAAAAGCTGGGCTGCTCAAAGACCACAAAGGCCGATCTCAGAAATCGAAGAGGCTTGCTTTCTCAAAAGCTGGGCTGCTCAGAGACCACGATGGCCGATTTCAGAAATCGAAGAGGCACCTACTTTTCCAGCCTTGTCAGCACCTGTCACACGCACACTCAGCTTTGCGGAAATTATGGGCATTCTGTCGAAGATTTCTGGCGAAGTAGAAAGCACATGAATCGTACTGTTCAATCACCCACTTCCCACACGCAACAGTAGCTCATGGGTACCACAGATAACTTTGCCAAAGTTCTCTGACAAAGTTGAGACACGTGAAGCTTGCAGCTCCCACTACATCGCTCTGACCAAGAAGGGTAAAAGAATTGCAAAGAAACAACACTAACAAAGTTTAGACACATAAATTTTGAAGGTCTAGCTACCATATTATTACCCACAAGGGTAAAGGAACAGTACCACTGCTGGATAATTGGAAAGTCTCGGTGTGTCAACCTCTGTGCTTCGTGGCAAGGTAGACTAGCAAACATGCCCAACCTTTACTCACATTCGAGAAAAACACTCCTAACAAGATTGCTTGCTCCAAAATCGAAGAGGCACCGCCCTCCGAATCTCGAGAGCCAGACTCCCAACATGATTACTTTCTCAAAAATCGAAGAGAAGGTAAAGGAACAGTACCACTGCTGGATAATTGGAAAGTCCCTGTGTGTCAACCTTTGTGCTTCGTGGCAAGGTAGACTAGCAAACATGCCCAACCTTTACTCACATTCGAGAAAACACTCCCAACAAGATTGCTTGCTCCAAAATCGAAGAGGCACCGCCCTCCGAATCTCGAGAGCCAGACTCCCAACATGATTACTTTCTCAAAATCGAAGAGAGGGTAAAGGAACAGTACCACTGCTGGATAATTGGAAAGTCCCTGTGTGTCAACCTCTGTGCTTCATGGCAAGGTAGACTAGCAAACATGCCCGACCTTTACTCACATTCGAGAAAACACTCCCAACAAGATTGCTTGCTCCAAAATCGAAGAGGCATGACCCTCCGAATCTCGAGAGCCAGACTCCCAACATGATTACTTTCTCAAAAATCGAAGAGACACCGCTCTCCGAATCTCGAGAGCCAGACCCCCAGCAGGATTGCTTTCTCAAAAATCGAAGAGGCATCGTTCTCCGAATCTCGAGAGCCAGACCCCCGACAGGTCTGTAATCTTCACACGCAACATCAGCTTTCCAGATACCACAAACCACTTTTTCAAAGTGCTCTGACAGAATTAAAACATGTGAAGCTGACAGCTCCCACTACCGTGCTATAACCAAGCAGGGTAAAGGAATAACATTATTACTTGATGTTAGGGAGACTCCTATATATGTCGACTTCCATCCCTAACGGACAGGCAGACCTGCAAAAATGCTTAACCATTTCTCTTATCTGAGAGGGCACTCCCAACAAAGCCTTTCGAAATATTCAGCTTTCTTTCCCCCCGATAATACATCTGTAAACAAGCTATACTAGAGCAAGAATATCTCATATCATCAGGGTTAAAAGCAAGAGTATCCCATATCATGCTTTTTCCCTGTCTTTTCCTTTGGCCTTGTTCTTACCTGCAAGACAAGGAGAAAGAGAGCAATCAGTCAGCACTTAGAATCAAGCTTCCAGCCAGGAACTGACTGCCTGGAACCCCTTACCTGATTACTTACCTGGCATTGCTCTCGAGTCCTCATCTTCAACATCTTATGCTTCCAGGGAAGATACCGCATCTGCCTGAGGAACAGATAGGGCAAGTGAGAAGGATACAAGGAAGCATGTGGAGACAAGCGTAACAGCACACGTGCCGATACATCCACTACTCTATCAAAAGCAAAAGTATCCCATATCAGCAGGGTCGAACGTACTCTAGATTTGATGGACTTGTTTTGACCCTCAAATTCTTCAGTCAGCCTTATACTCTGGAGGAAACCAGAAAACCCTCCAGCCCAGTTCAAGAATAAGCCTGTGGAAAGTTACTTCTTCAAAAGCAAAAGTATCCCATATCATCTCTCCTCATTTTTCTTCTCTTTATCCTTCATGCTGCCTGCAAGATAGGGAGAATGTGAACAATCAGCCGGAGCTCTGA